CAGTTAATTAGCTCTTTTGGAATGCAGATATTTGCAAAGACAAAAAGGAATTTTTACCTTGCCAGAGTAAATTTTAGATGGATACAAGAGTTAAATGTAAAATTTATATTATAAAACATAGATAATAATAGGTGTATCTGATATCTGGATAAGGGAAGCTTTGGAGTAATAGAAGAAAATCACAAAGGAAAAGATCTATAAGTTTAATTATGTAAGAAATAAAACTGCCTCTGTCAAACACCATAAACAAAATTATAGATTAATATACGAGGAAAAGCAAAGAAATAAATGGGTCAATAGCATTTATATGTAAAACAATCATACAGATTAATAACCCCTAAATAATGAACTTAAAAATATAAGTGGCTATTAAACATTAAAAAGTGGTTGGCCTGCCTCAATAGGTAGCTACGAAATAAAACATTCAATTAAATTTAAAGTACTATTCTTTCCTGCCTTAGGACTTTTCTCCATAGTGTTAGTATCTTTTCATGGCTGACCTCATCCTTTAAGACTCAGAATATAGAACCACCTCAGTGAGGCCTTTCTGAACTACAGCAGGTGCTCTAATAACATGCCTTAGGAACTAAACCCTTGTTTATATCAATTAGCCTATGGTAAAATTGGTTTCAGTATACATAGTTTCGCTTAAAGTGGAAACCTAAGACAACAGCAGCAGCGTTAGGGGAGGACTTACTGTACTCAGTCAATGAGTTTTTTCCTGTTTCTTGGCAGTCCACTGATTTCTTCTTTGCATTTAACCTTTCAGAATCACCTATTTGTTTACTTACTGTCTTTCTCCTCTAGACTCTATAAACTCTGAGAGGACATGAATAATATCTGGCATCTAGGAAGTGTTCAATAAATAATCGTTAATTGAATAAACAATGAATAAAAAGTGAATGAAATGAATAAAATGAATCACCATTTAAAAAATCCTGTTTGCTGAAGTTTTTAAAGAAAAATACTCTGAGACAAAATGGGATGGGTACAGTGATTGTGCTGCTCGACAAATTGGTGTTACCTTTCAGAATGGAAATTTTGTAAAAGATAGTAAAAGCCTTAAACAGTCATGCCTTTTGACCCAGTAATTTTACTACTTGGAATCTGCCCTAAAGAAGTCATCTCTGCCAGAGGGTGGGGAAGCTTTCTTCCTAGTTCTTTGCATATTCACTGGTATTCGTTTCCTCAGAAAAGAAGACAACATTTTGTAGTTGTCTTCTGCTTCCTCTTCAGTGTGGCTCAGTGAGTAAGATGTGCAAAGGATTTAATCCTTGGCTAGCCTTGGTAATCTTGTATTCTAACACTCTCACAGAGTCTTTGAGAGTTCTTACTGCTTGGGGCACCTCAGTGTTCTGGTAGTAAATTTGGATTTGGGCTTTGAGGGAAGGCAGAGGCCCCACTTAAAGAATAGTGCCTTAATCCAGTTTACCAAAGAACCTTGCCTTGGGGTATCAAGTAATCAGCTAAAAGTGGTACTTTGATTTCCCTTTTGATAACCTCCCCTCCCCGCATTCACCCTGTCTCTCATTCTCTCCCCCACTAACCTTGCATCCTTGCAGTATGGGATGTATTTCTTCTGTGGGTCACTGTCAGACTATGAAAGCTATTTGTTTTAGCCGAATACCAATTAATAATGCCCCAAACTTATTTTATGTTGCTTTGTTCTTAAATGGGGGAAAGATTTATGAACAGAGAATCAGGCCTAATATATTGTAAAATTTGAACAATGAAACATCATCAGGAGACTTGCTAAGTAAATCATGATGACCTGTCCTTTCAGATTATTTGCTCAAGATCCTCTTATCTCTCTTCAGTATTTTTAAGGTTTGCAGTGAAAGTCCAGAGGTTAGCATTAGCTTTCTTAGTTCTTGTAGAGCCTTAGTGAATAATTAGTGTGTGGTAGTATACTGGTAATAGCAAAAAGGAGTCAGATTTGAGCCCCAGTTCTGTGACAGCCCTGGGCGGCGTACTTAACTTCTTTGTCTCTGTTTACTCATCTATAAAATTGAGTTAATAGTGCATAATTATCCTAAGTGACTAGGAAATATGGTAATACATACAAAGTGCTCAGCTCCTTACTTGGGCTCCCAGTGACTAGAGTTAATTCCAGGCTGTTTTGCCTCTTACATTACTGAATCTGTCTTTGTGCCTTAGTTTCTCCTTCAGCTCACATTTCAGTTAACATTATTTGACACTTCTGTGGGAGATAATAAAAACTTCTTTAGTTATATCCCAAGAATTTGAGACAGTTAAAATCAGAAAATGTGAAAAGCACTGAACAAATTAGTGGTGCTATTAATTCCAGTAGTAGCAATAATAGGAAACCTGTTTGCATTGCCAGTATATGAGCTGATTAATAACTCTATGTCCAAATGAGTAGAAACAGCAGTTTATTTGGATGGGAATTGATACTTTCAGTTCTATATAAGTGCCAACCATCCTCTTTTCTGCCTTTAGACCTTTTCGGTTATTCCTTTTGCCTGGAATATTCTCCCTTCTCCACCCTTAATATCTGCATATCTAGTTCTTCCTTATCTGCTAAAGTAGTAACTTTAGAAAGGCTGTCCCTGATCATCCAATCTGAGTAACTTCTGGTTGATTTTTTTAAAGTCATTTTAAAATATCATAACATTAATTACTGTTTGGTTCTTGATTTTGTTTTCTGTTTCCTCCCTCCCCAACTATGATGTAAGTCTTGAAGAGAAAGGACCTTGCCTATGTTGGTTTTTTGCTTTTGTTTTTTTTCTCTGCACCTAGATTAGTGCCTAACAAAATGAACACTTGTTGAATGTTTGAATATAATGCAAAGTATGAAAAATTGTCCTTAATTGTATTTCCCAGAGATAACCATTGTTAATATTATGGTATATAGTTTCCTAATTTTATTTTCTTTATGTGTGCTTACATATTTACAAGTGTCTGTGATTATGCATTTATACCATATTTCATTGAACCTAAAGGTGAATATTGTTTTACTATAGTTTATGTCTGAAATTGGGATGCCATATAATCAAGGGTATGCCATGATTTAATTGGCAGCATGTTTCTTTCTTTGTGGCACATAAAATGAGGATGTCTTAAAATGTATAGCATCTTGGATTTGATGAAATACGGTATACATTTAAAATAAAAATAAGATCATTATGTTCAGTTCTTTACCCACCCAAGTATCTTGAGAATTCCCCATATCACTGTATTAGGTCTCATTCTTAACGATACATAGTGAGGACATATCATAAAATGTTCAACCACTTCCTCTTGATGAACATTTGGAGCTTTTCCAATTTTTTTCTGTTTTACACACTGCTGTGTTGACTGTCCTTGTACTTATCTTTATGGGCTTGAGTGAAACTTTTTGTAGAATACTTAGGTCACAGGGTACACATATTTTCTATAGTGTATTAGGATGCATGTTTCCCTATACCTTGAGTAGTACTGCATCTTTGGAAATTACAAAAAAAAAAATCTGATATATTAAAAAATACCCTAATATTTTAATATTATTTCTTTAATTATGAATGACTTCGGTCTTTTTTTCATGTTTCTTCTTTGTTGCACTCGTGCATAGGGTAGTAGACCTTTAATTGGCTGGCAGATCTGCGTTAATTACGAAGAGAAGGCATCACAGTTTGGATCCGTGCATTATCATATTAATTCTTAGGAACAACTTTCAGGGCAGAACCCACCGTTGTGGAGGGCAAGAGGACTTTATAAGATTGGGGATGAGACAGAATTCAAGAATAATCAGAATTGTTGTTTCTTTTATAATGGAGGCCAAGAAGGGTTACAGTATCATCAGTTTGTGTGCTGACTACTGGAACTTAAGACTATGTTGTTAGTCTTTAAACTTTAAACGCTCCTCCTTAATATGACTTGGTTGTAGTACAGTAGTATTAGATTAGTAGGTCTGAAGTAGGGCACAATTCTGGGACTCGAATCAAGTCAGTATTACATCTAGAAATTACATCTATGATCATTTAAAATTAGATTAATATGGGTTTTTTGCACATTGCCAAAATATACTTGTCAACATATTTGAGCACCTTGGCATCAGTTTCAAATATAGATATCAGATGGTCTCTGCCTTTTAGGTTCCACTGTAGCCTGTGGAGGGGACAGATTTCAATCCTTTGGTAGGACTGAAACTAGAAGGTACATAAAACATGAAGAGCACAGAGAAAGGTGTGTAGTCTAATAGAATTTAAGGAAATAGATATGGTAAGCTGAACTGAGTATTGAAGAAAGGGTATTAGCTAGCGGATAGTAAGTAGTAAAGGATACAACAGCATGAGAGAAGACATGCATGGGTGAAATGAACTGCAAGTAGTAGGGTATTCTTAGAACATAAAGTCTGAGGTGAAGATTCACTATAATGAGTCTGGGGAGATAAGCAAGGACCAGGTAATGATGCCATGCTAAATATTCTGCATTTGCTAGGTTAGGGAAGTCATACTAAGAAATGGTATGATTAAGTTTGCATTTGAGATATCATGGCCCGAAGATCGATTTAGGGGCAAGACCAAAGACAAGGAGACTTGTTGGGAAACAGTTCTGGTAATCCCTTTGAAAGAATGAAGGCCTTTGCTCAATGGTAATAGCTTACTGGAAAAATCATAGTCATTTCTCTTAGTTTATATAATATTTGGCCCTCTCGTTCATAATCGTACTGAGATTAAATTTCATGGAACTGGATTTATTACTTTGCAGAAATGATTTATGTTCATTGTCCAGTTGTTATTCCTTTATGTCTGTAAGAAGTTTATACTTCTATAAATACCTGCCTAACTGGTATGGTGCTATATGGAGATGATTAATAGTGTTTTTTATGATTATAAATATTGGGAGATGTTAGCTCTTTTGGTATGCTTAGTGGTTACCTTAGAGGAAAAGAATTTTGGAGCATTTTGCTTTCTGGGTGAAAATAATGATCTGTTAGATTAAATTTAGGTTATTTAATTTCTTATATGGATTTATAACTTTTATGTGCTAATTTGTTTTGTTTTGTTTTTTTTAAAGGCTATTAGCAAAAGATGGTGGACCGCTTAGCAAACAGCGAAGCAAATACTAGACGTATAAATATAGTAGAAAACTGTTTTGGAGCAGCTGGTCAACCTTTAACTATACCTGGACGGGTACTTATTGGAGAAGGAGTATTGACTAAGTTATGCAGAAAAAAGCCCAAAGCAAGGCAGTTTTTCTTATTTAATGATATTCTTGTATATGGCAATATTGTCATCCAGAAGAAAAAATATAACAAACAACATATTATTCCCCTGGAAAATGTCACTATTGATTCCATCAAAGATGAAGGAGACTTGAGGAATGGATGGCTTATCAAGACACCAACTAAATCATTTGCAGTTTATGCTGCCACTGCCACTGAGAAATCGGAATGGATGAATCACATAAATAAATGTGTTACTGATTTACTCTCCAAAAGTGGGAAGACACCCAGTAATGAACATGCTGCTGTCTGGGTTCCTGACTCGGAGGCAACTGTCTGTATGCGTTGTCAGAAAGCAAAATTTACGCCTGTTAATCGTCGTCACCATTGTCGAAAATGTGGTTTTGTTGTCTGTGGGCCCTGCTCTGAAAAGAGATTCCTTCTTCCCAGCCAGTCTTCTAAGCCTGTACGGATTTGTGACTTCTGCTATGACCTGCTTTCTACTGGGGACTTGGCCACATGCCAGCCTACTAGGTCAGACTCTTACAGTCAGTCATTGAAGTCTCCTTTAAATGATGTATCTGATGATGATGATGATGATGATAGCAGTGACTAAGGGCACGTTTTGAAATATAAAATTGGATGTGACTAAGAAATCAGCTTTGGGGGAAATGTAAAATTCTGAGCTCTCTCTGTTTTGCTCTAGCCATGAATTTGCCTGAGAAACTTTTAACCTATGTGCCTCAATACATTCTATAGGAAATAGCTCCTGTTGCCATCCTCCCAACCCTACTGCTTCCACCACTCGCCCCACGACTTTCCATTCTTCTGCAGGGATAGCCTCTTACAAATATAGCAGATAAATTTTTGGTTTCTTATTGTTTCATTCTAGATTATTTTCTTGGAAGGTTGGGAAGAGATGCTTATTTAACAGATCATGTACTACATTGTTGTTAACTGTTCTGTTATATGGAAAAACTAAAAGCAAAGAATGATGGACAAAGGAGTATAATGTGGTTAGTTAATAACATTATTAGCTTTTTTCTAACCATTCTGTTTAATGGTTAAGACACCAGTAACAAAAATACATGATTTGGAAATACTTTGGCTTTTTCACATACCAAGTGGTGCCTTATCTTAATAGCATTGTTATATGAAATAAGCCCCTACTTTCTCACCTTTTAGTTTGTTTTAAAAATACACTGGTGCTCTTCGAGGTGATAAAATGAGTGTTTATGAATGGGTATAATTGGAAAATAACTTGTCATTTGACAGCTACAAATAACTAAATTTAGAAGTTCTTCTCTACGAATAAATATTTTTTCACAAAATAGTTGTGATTTTATTTTTATGTTTTATAGGTACCAAATTATAATTGTCAGATATAAATTTTCAGTTAATAGGAGGTCATTCTTAAGAATTTGGTTTGGAATTTATCAAATACAGAATTGTCAAATTGTATTAGTTTGTTTTTAGTAAAAGACTTTGTAGGTATAAATTCATCTGCTTTAACATTATTTCTAGAATGAAAAAATTATAAAATTCTTGAAAATAATCTGTTCAAAAAAATCCTATGATAGAGCACAGATCTACTTAGGCTGAAGATTTGGAAAAAATAATATGTAAGAATGGTCAAGACAGACCAAATTTGACTAGACTTTATATCTGTGGAAATGTCTATTTCGGTGAAACTATCTTGGATTTACAAATATAGTGTTATATTTTATAAAGTTTTGTAAAGTCCCAAACAATATTTCTATTTTTGTAAAACATTGTATGTTTAATCTGTTTCTGAAATCATTTTGCAACGTGTGGAAATAGAATAGCAATTGATCTTTCTAAATTGTGACCTTAGTACTGAGTCAGTCTAGATTGCCTTTGAGAAGTGGTAATTTTTCACTCTGCTTTTGAGGCATCCATTAGGTTGAAAGTATATTTATCATATAAAACTTGATGCATTTTGCACTACTTTCTCCATTTGTATGCTGCAAATAAACTACAGTCTTTCAAATATGAAAAATCAGTCTAAAGATTGTTTTAAATTCTAAATTCTTTTGTTTTTAAACTGTTAAATCTGGTTATATTGCATATGTTAGTAGAGGTTCGATTCAGTAACTTGTGATGGAGGATTCTTTGGTTTGGTTAAGGCACTATACTGTTAATTGTGAAAGCGTCTGGGATACATAGATCTCCCTGCAGGAAATGTGAAGGAAAAGCACAACAGGTTTTGTTTTGTTTTTTTTTAATATCAGATGGACTTTTATTTCCAAGCAATATATCATATAATCAACATGAAACCTGAAACGTGCTAATGGAAACTTGCTGGTACATTAGGAACCTAGCAAATTCAGGAACCAAGGGGAAATGTTCTGCAATAACATTTGCATTGTCAACCTCTATTGACTTTTTTACAATAAAAAATACTTTACAATTTACCTCTTTTTGTATGTATTGTGACTTGAAGATTTTTTTCCCTCTTGCTAAGGTAATGGAGATATTATGCATTTTTTCCCTCATTCAATATGCCAAGCATTATTCTAGGCCCTTGGGGTAGAGCAGTGAGTAAAAATTCCATTCCTTTCATGGAGTTTACATGCAAATAGAGCCCAAGATGTGTTTTCTTCCATAACTTTTTCTGTAATTTTTCAGGCTTTTGTAAATCTTAATTATATGTAAACACGAAATGATTTTGGTCGATGTTTCATGCTACTTCTCTTGAATGATATTTACTTGGTCTGTACTAGATTCCCAGTATATTAACAAAATTGGTAACGATTGGTATAAAGGAAGCAAGATACCAAGGAAAAGTATTAAGTCGATTACACCTTACACATGAATTCATGCCTTTGGGTTAAGTGCATAAAATGGTCATAATTAATGTAAATCATTTGTTTATATATCATGTTTATGCTGAAATTCTTATAAATAAGTAGAATTAAATTGTATACTTTATGGTTTTTTGAAAGGTCCCAGTACTTGAGCTGCAGTCTCCTTTCTCTTGGATGTGGTAGTTTTGTTCTCAAATACATGTTGTAGCTTTAAACAATGTAGTAACAGTTATCTACATGTTCGCATGTATTAGATTGCTATACATTTTACAAGATAAAATTTAAGTCTAGGATGAAAATACATGAAATTTTGTTTATTGATAATTTTAAAATATTTCTTTAAAAGCTAAATTATTTTAGATTCATTCAACATTAAGTGTTATGTCAGGTTTTATAGTATCAGTGTTAGGTGTTATAAACTTTTTAAAGGTACATTTCTACAGGGGTTATTATCAGTGTCATTCCCTTACATATCAAAATAAATTTCTTAAAAATTACTTTGTCCTTGAAATTTTTTTTACAACCATATACTTCATATACCAAATTTTAGCAATAGAAAACAATTTTAAACCATTTAACCAACAGTATTTCTCTTTTTGTCCACTCTAAATAGCTGATAAACAGAAATTGGTAATAGTAGAATTGCTTGGCTTGATAATTCTCTCAATTTAATTTATGAAGAATAAAAAGGTAGAGAAGGTAATATTGCTAACACCATCTTGTCTTCACCATCCAAGCCATTATTGTATTTAATCATTCACATTAGTGAAAATGATTGCTGTAAAGCTTTGATGGTATTATCTAAGTTTATCAGGAAAAAGAAAAGTACTTTAATCAGATTTTGTGTCTTCATGCTCCTGTCAACTTAATGTTTAGAGGTAGTATATGCTTTGCTATTATTTTTTAAATTAATTTTTAATTTTCAATTACATTCAGCATATAATATTATATTAGTTTCAGGTGTACAACTTAGTGATTAGACATTTATATAACTTACAAAATGATCACCCTGATAAATCTAGTGCCCAGCTGACACTATACATAGTTATTACAATATTGTCGACTATATTCCTTATGCTGTACTTCATATCCCAATGACTATTTTGTAACTACTAATTTGTATTTATTAGTCCCTTTCCCTTTTGTGCCCTCCTCCCAGGACCCTCTTCCCATCTGGCAACTGTCAAAATGTTCTTTGTATCTTTGTTATTTTGTTCCTTAGATTCCACATGTAAATGAAATCGTATGGCATTTGTCATTCTCTGACACTCCATTCAGCACAATACCCTCCAGGTCCATCCATGTTGTTGCAGATGGCAAGATTTTTTTTTTTTTTTTTTACAGCTGAGTAATATTACATTGTATCTATGTACCACCTCTTTATCCATTCATCCGTTGATGGACATCCAGGTTGCCTCCATTATTTATTTTTCAATAGTTTTATTAAGGTAATTTATGTACCATACAATTCACCCATATAAAGTGTACAATTCAGTGGTTTTTAGTATACACACTAAAACCATCACTACCTTTTCCAGAACATTGTCATCATTTTGAATACTTGTGTTTTTTTGAAAATCATTTTACTTTTAAATTTGTATAATAAAGCATATTTCGGGGTATAATGACTCCTAATTTCATAGGCTTCTATCTTTTAAAAGCATTTCTTGATGTTTTATCTAAATCCCTTCATAGAAGCTGAAACGTGCTAATAAATTCAACTTTTTTCCTTGTTACTTTGCACGAATAATAGAGTAGAAAGCATGCTTAATGTATAAACATGAGCAAATGACAAAATTTTTACCGAGTTCCTGAAATTCACACTGCATGCTAGGAAACCCTCAATGATAATGTCATTAAGCTTAGAGATACTTGGACATTTTTACGGCTTGTGGTTTAGAAATAGCTTCTGTGATTTAGAATAGTAGTAGCTTTTAAGGTCTTAAAAGCAGAAAGAATCGATGACAAAATGTTAAAAGTAGCTTGCTCTTGGACAGTTGCTAAGATGCCAAATTATTTTAATTCTAACCAAAAAGCAAGTTGTAGAGTCTGAGATGAATATTATAAATTAATATAATTCCTTATTTTTTTTTAGGCGCCTCCCTTCTATGTAATGCCTATTATCTGGGCTCATAGTATTTATCTGCAAATAATTAGATTTCCCTTTACATTAAAAGTTGTGCTGTGTGTTTTAGGGGCAAGATTTAGCTAGACTGTTGAAATTGATCTTTCTGGTATGGGCCCAGTAGACCTCGCTGCCTAGGGTGGAAACTAGAACTCCCTTTAAACCATATTGGTCATTTATTTCATCCTTCGGCATGCTAATCTGTTCATAAGAACAATAATAATAGTTCCATTAATAGCAATAATAAAAATAATTACAACATTTGCTATTACTCTACTTGACAGGCCCTGTTCTAAGTATATTTATAAAGTCAATTCTCACAATCCTGTGGGGTAGATATAAATGTTATTAACCTTATAGGGATAAGGAGGTGGGTCACCCATGTAGTAAGTGGCAGGCCCAGGATGTGAACCCAGGCAGTCTGGTTCAGAATGCAGGCTCCTGTGTCTAACCTAAAGAGGCTTTAACAAAGTCAGAGAAGTCTTATGTGTGTCTGAAGTTTCTGCCCTCATTAAGCTCATGTTCTAGTATATCATAATACAATGCCAGACAGTATATAATGCCAGACTGAAGATTTTTGCAAATGGGCAACACTGGAAAATTCCCACTCTTACAGTAAGCCTCAGCTCGCATGTCCTCATCTGTCTTCCTCATTTTGTTGATTTTCTGGGGCTTCTCTAACACTTCATGTATGTTTGCAGCCACCTTGTTTGTCATAGTGTATTCATCCTACTAAATGAGACTTCTGGCAGGAAAAGTTCCCATATTATTTTGATTTTTATTCAATCAAACACATTTTTTCTTTTATTCATTTATCCAGTCGGTGGAAGGAATTTAGCTGCTCTCCCATAATTCTCCAATATTCTCACCAAATCACTCCAACACATAATCTCAGTAGAGACAGTGTGCTTGCTCTGCAAACCAGTTTTAAAACATCCCTTTCAACCCTAGCCTTTCACCCATCAACTCCTTTCATATGGAAATGATATAGCTGCCACTATGTTCTGTAACTTTGTCAACTGCACTGTCCAATGCCTAGCTCCTTCACGTGAATGAGCAATTATCTCATTGAGCAAGTACTTTCTATGAGGCACTGTGGGATTATAGCAGTGATCACAGCAGTCTGAAGTTTCTGCCCTCATGAAGCCAGCCCATGTTCTAGTATATCATAATACAGTGCCAGACAGTATATAAGTGCTGTGATGAAAATGAAGGTGTGTGTTGATGGGGACTGTTAGGGGTGGGGATGGGGTGGGAAATGACAGTGGTAAAGAAAGCTCATCAGTTTCTGTTCCTACTGTGTACATAGTGGGTACTTCATAAATGCTGGAATGAATAACATTAAGCTCACGATCGACATTTAGTCTATTGTCTTAAACTAGAATCAACTATCAGATTATAATTCCATTCTGAAGGACAAGCATTTGTTTCACTGTACTTAAGAATAAAGTTAGCCTCTAGTCCTAGATGAAGCTAGGCCCTGCTAGAAAATATTTGTCTTGGAGTCAAGAACTGGCTCACTTTCTGAACTCAAAAAGAATGAGAGTTTTCAGGCTTAAGTTTACATGCATCTTTTAATTAATGGGATTGTTAATATTTCCCTTTGAGGACTACTGAAGCTTTATCTTGCTTTGGGATGACAAAGAGAAAAAGACTTATGAAGGAATAAATTAGGCATGCCAGCAATGGCGAAATTGGGGTGCTAGCAAAATGTAGCTCAGCCGGGGCTTATTTCTCATTTAAAGTCATTCTGCGTCCTAGCCTGTCATCAGATGAGTGGCTTTGAAGTCTGCTACCCAGCTGCCTAGTTTGGCTTCAGAGGACAGCCACTAATTAGGACGTTGTATATTTTAAAAATGTATCTCTTTCCAAGTCTTTGTGAGTTCTTAGAACAATGAATTTTGAAAGATTGGGATTTGCTTCCTGGCTATGGCGGTTTGGAGAAAACCCAGCCTAAATGTGATCACTTGAGAAGCTTTCCCAGCACACTCTCCTCTCCTCCACTCGCTTTCTCCACACTCCGCCTTACACGGAACCACGTTCATCCACTAGTCTAAATCTAGTCTGCTCCTGTTGTCTTAGAGTTGCTTGATCTGTGTCTGTTTCTTAGGCTGGTTTGGGACCCGTTAGGGGCAGGAGGCTGCTTTGTTTATTTTTTTTATCCTCAGCACCTCACACACTGCCTGACATGTGGTAGGTGCTCAATAATTGCTTGTCGAATTGAACGTGATAAAAGTGCCCACTTGAGCATTCTCTCTTAGGAGAAAGATAAATGTCTCCTGAGTCTGCACGAGTACATTATTCTCTTTAAGCAAATGCTGAAAGCTTAAATGAATCGCTGATGGTTTAATTTATCCAGTACAAGTGTGCCAAGGAATGCCAGAATGCCTGTTCCTGCTTAACAGGAGGGTGGCTTGCCTCGCCTTGTGTTCCAAGTGCCGGAAGGACAAGCCTGCGGCAGAGATTTCCTTTGAAAAGGCGTCTGTGCCACTTCACCACTCTGTGCTCTGCTTTTGCTGAGCAAGGGCCTTTTCTTGACTTTCCTGTATCTGTAAAAGAAGGCTCAGCAGGTTTTTTCTTTTCAGAGTGAACTTTGGAAGTGACAGAATCTGCCCTAGCCAAGGTGAAGAATATCTCTTCTCATCCTCACCTCTTTCCTACGCTTTTACTTTAGTTACTCAAACCCTATACCAACCAGTCTAAGAATACTAAGCTTTTGGCAGACTTCTAATTGGTGTCTACTGCCTTCAGGAGGAAAAGCTTTTCTACAAACTTTTCTTTGGGAACAATTTGAATTTATTAACCTAAATTTAAAGGACTCATTACTATGTTTCCTACAAGTGAGAAACCAAAAGCTGCCTCTTTTGAAGGCTGTGCCTGGTCTTTAGGTCAGCCGAGGCCAGGATTGTGATCAACTGGCAACTTCAAAAAAATATGCACATTATGGAAATACATATGAGAGAAACACATTTTTTTTCCCCAGTGACTACTAGAGTTTTCTTCAGTATTCCATTGTATGCTCAACAGCTGAGGAAAAATTCAAGATCTTAGAAATTTTTCACTGACCATTTTGGTGATCAGAGTTTTAAATAAAGGATCTTTAAAGCTTGGTATCATTATTATTTCTAACAGCAAAAAAGAAAGATGAGAACTGACTTTCTAATAGGATTCTCTTACAAGAAACTTTATTAAAAAAATCTAGATGTAGTGCATTTCAGTAAAGGAAAATTTATAATATTAAAATAATATATGGCACAGGCATGGAATAATCTATCTGAGGGATGTCATCCATAAAGTTGACTCTAGGAAAAATCTCTGGTGTTTTAGCTATTGATTATAATGTTGCATATTGTGTACGTGTCATAACCAAAA